GTTATATTTCTTTAAGTAATATCTGCAAGATTGGTGCTTGGGCAGTGAAACAATATTTCGCACTGCCCATTTTTGGAGTTTGAATAGAAACTTGGTGTTTCTACTCTCATGACCCCAAATTGGTACAGCATACGCTAAGTGGGGCCATAATATGCAGAAATCTAGACTTTGTTTTTTTATTTGTGTATTTCAGGCTGCGCAACACAAATATTCCTGAGCTTATCTTTCCTGAAATGCTTTCTATATGGCTCTTGAAACTGAGACCTTTGTCTAGGGTCAATCCCAAGAACTTAACTCTGTCAGTTGGGTGAACCACTGTTTCATCTACGAAAAGGCTAAAACTCTTGTAGTGTTTGTTAGTTATGGAAAAATGTATGAGTTGGGGTTTTTCAGGGTTTATAGTTTAACGAGTTGTCATCAAACCATTGGACTAAATTGTTCGCCTCAGAAAAGGCACTCAACTCTAACCGATCGATATCGCAGCCAGAAACTGAAAGGGAGATGTCGTCGGCAAAAAGTGTAGGTTTTGCAGCTGGAGTGGATGAAGGGAGGGAATTTATAAAAAGGAGGAATAGGACAGAACCCTGAGGCACTCCCCTCACTATAGAGGACTTGACAGAGGAATATGGACGCAAAAGCCCGGTCTCATCCGCAGAACGAATCTCTACAAACTGTTTTCTGCCTTCAAGGTAACTCGAGATCCAGTTTAAGGCCAGGCCAGGTATTCCCACCTCACTCATTCTCCGCAGCAGCAACCTGTGATCAACAGTATCGAATGCCTTACTGAGGTCGAAGAAAAGCCCAGCTGAGCAGTTTCTGGAATCAAGCTCATTTACTACCGGTACTCCAGTTATGAAGTCATACATAGCTGATAGCGTAGACTTGCCCTTCAAGAACCCGTGTTGTTTCTTAGTAATTATATTATTACTCTCTAGGAATTTCCATAACCTAGGGACCATCACCTTCTCAAACACCTTTGAGAATGAAGAAACAATAGATATTGGTCTGTGGCTGCTGCATACTCGGGGGTTTCCTTTATTGAAAATTGGTCTAACAACGGTCTCCTTTAGACCTTGGGGAAATGATCCAGATGCAAAGGAAAAATTTATAAGGTGGCACTGAGGTGTCAACAACTGCTTAGAAATGCTCTTAAGAAGCATCGGAGATATTTAACTTAGTCTGCTCCAGCATTTTTTTTATTTTTTAGGTTTGATATGACCTTATTTATTTCCTCCTCAGTTGTTGGATAGAGGAACATTGAATTTGTAAATCCCCGGTCTGAACATCCTGTGAGACAACTCTGGCCAGCAGTGGATTTAGCCAAGTTCCCTACATTGGAGAAATAATTGCTAAATTTGTCACAAATATCATCAGGGCAGGTAATTAGCTTGCCATCTTTGCCTTCAAGAACAAGTTCACTTTTAACCCTCCGAGTGTTATTTGTCGCTGCAGCGACACATAACACACTTTGTGTAGTGTCACTTGTCGATTTTTCGACACACGAACATCGTTTATGGCGAAGGCTCTATGACTGACTGAATCAGATTGAACTGGATCGAGTTAGGTATCGTTCTTTTTGTTAGATTCAGAGCTTTCTCCTGAGGTCTGTCTCTAAGCTCTATTCATTTTAGTTCCGAAAATATTGTAGCAGACAGCTGACGTGGGTATTTGTAAACAGCTAGGTTAACCTCGGACCGATGACTGATGTGTTTTATTACGTTTATCATTGTTTTAGTGTTAAAAATCAAAAGTAGTGATATACGTGGTGCATTATAAGAAGATTTAAGTGATTTTGAAGGGCTGGTTGATGATCCTGAAGAAGTAGGTCATATTGTAAATAGTAGTGATATTGATGTAAATTATCAGCCAGAATCCTAGCTATGGTTAGGCTATGCATTCTTAGATAAACGCTGTGTAGCATACTGAAATCTGTTTTTTGCCCATAACTTATTTATTTGCAAATCTACTTCCTTATATTATTAGGCCTATATCTTTGTAATCCTCATAAAATTTAGAACAAAGTGGCTATTTTCAAATATTTCTAGACCTATAATTTATACAATTTCATTGAGCGCGAACTTATTATTTTATTTTGAAAATTTTCCAAAATATTTTTTTTACGGTACCTAAAAATTTTTTTTGAAACAAATGTTCCTTATGTTCTATGTAGGCTAGGCCTATAATATTGAAGCCCATGCTTTTCCAAACAAAATGGTAGGCCTATATAGAACAGTATAATTAACATTGTTTTCAAGCTTCTCAGATCTGTTTTAATAAAACCTTGAAAATGAGCAAAAAATAGGCAGACATTAAGGCGAAAACAAGGGACACTCGGAGGGTTAAAGTCTTTGTTTGGTTTCTTTTTTGATTTTATGATATCCCAAATTGTTTTAGATTTATTGTCTGATGTTTCTATCTTATGAAGATCTTAGGCCTATGAAGATGATCAACATTAGGTAGGCCTAAAAATTGACCTAGTTTATTGATAAAAAAGTTACACAAAACATAAATATAGGCCTAGCTTATTAAGTTATACGATCGTGGTGAACAGGAATGCTCAGGAAAACAATGTTGCGGACTGAATGGGCACTGCGAATGCAATAGGCCTAGTAGGGTAACTGATGTAAAATAGGCTAGGCTAACGCGTTTCAACTGTAATACTAAAAAAGTAAACTTTAGGCCTAGTAACCGTCAGCTTCACCCTCTGCTTTCTTAGAAAAGTTTGTTCTTATTCCAAATTATTTACAAATCAATTTTAGATATTCCGTTTACAATTGAAAACTAACTTAAAGCCTGAAATTCCAAACTACATAAGTTACTTAACAAACTGTAAAATAATGGTCCAAGTTATTTACTTACATGTTTGTTGCTGCCATGCCAGAAGTTTCGTATCGATCACATTCACAAACACTAATTATTTTCGCTAGCAGCAACAGCTTTAGCTAGCCTAGCACAATTTGTCATCTTTTACAACTAAATAAAAAATAAAATACTGTACTGGTAATAGTAATTAAGTTAATAGGTAAACCTAATTAGTAAATAAATAACTTGGTACCGACCGAACCGAAGCGGATAGTACTTCCGTATCGTAGTCGTATTTCTAACTTTTGTTTTTCTAACTTCAACTTCTAAGAGAAGAGAAGAATAAGAAAGAATCAGATTGAGATTGGATTGAAGAAGGAGAATTCAGGAAGAATATAATAGACCAATAGATTCGATTGGTTGATTACGGACTGATTGTGGTGTTTGTGTGTGATAGTGATTGGTTGACTTTGTCTTTACAATCCATAACGAACCCAAACTTTTCATTCTATTTCCACAGCTAGCGACAGAGCAAAGTATATAAAAAGGGTAAGGACAAAAATTCATTGATTATAAGAGCAGGGTTTATATCACTGAACTATAACTATAACAATAGTTATAGCTCAGTGTGGTACATATGTTACCTAATTTTTTTAAGTGTAGAAAATAAATGGTATGATTATAGAGATTAATTACATATTGATGCAGAGTATACACCATTGATCAATGAATACAGATGATAAACAGAGTGTCCATTAAAAACGTTTCAGGACTTTGGTGTAAGCATCCTCATGCTAAAAGGAAGAAAAAAAGTGTAATTGAAGGTATGTCTGAAAATGCACGTAACCAGATATCCACCATTCTGTGTTCTATACAAAAATATTTGTATCTGTATCAAAATATTGTACAAAAATATCTGTATACAAAAATATTGTATATTTGTATCTGTGAAGTTTTTCAACCCATGATTATGATACTTAGTAAGCATTTTTAACGTAAACAAGACAAGACAAGAAATTTGCGTACAATGGACAAATATTGCCATAATTAAAAGTTTAAAAGTTTATTAAAGTTGGCCCGAGTACGAATTTCAAAGTAACAACAGTTTAAATTTTATTTCTTAAATAACTAAAAAAATTGATAATTTTATAAAATAATGTCAAATATACATATTAGTATTTTAAAATCCCTATCAAACGACACCAAGATAAAAAAGATCGGACAAAAAATAACTGTAATATAACATTATTGGTGTAAAAATAAGGCCCTTAATTTTACCTGACTTTATAGGCTTACCTCCTTTTTCATAGCCTTTTCAAAGCTTTATAGGCTTACCTAGATTCAAAGCCTTTTTAAGTAATTTGCTCTTAGAGACACCTTTATTTGACTCTAGTGAGTTCCTTAAGACAGAGGTCCACCTGTAATTAGGTAATTCATGGTGTGTGCTTTTTTTAACTGCTTTTTGATTTTTTTTTCTCCAAATGTGCATGGTTTTAATCTGATTTATTGAACTTTTTATTTTGCCTCCTATTTGACTTGAACTAAGCATGGTTTGATTTTATTGTTAACCAATCTCTGATGATGGTTTTATTCTTATTTTATCCTTATTTTATTGAATTATGTATTGACATAGCCTATTATGTATTGTTTAATGACCAAATAAACAATTTGAATTTTGAATTTATTTGAATTTTATTATTGATTTAACATATCGTTGATTTGACACTACAGCTACATAGCTTTTAAATCGTGCTTCAACACTGAGCTAAAATTATAACTGGAGGTAGCACTGCCATGGCAGAAGTCTGTCAAAAGCGAGTCGCTGATTTTGTTAGGTTGGTATAGCAGTAAGTTTTCTTACCATAGCAATAACATGGCTTCTTATAACTAGGTTGGTATAGCAGTGAGTATTTTTGTCATACTTGAATACTTTTAATACTTTAATAATTTTCTTTGAAATGGTGACAATACAAAGTAGGTATTTTAAGCCAAGTATAATAATAGTTATAGCAATAATATGGCTTCTTATGGACACCCACCTCACGCAAACATGGCGGCTGGCGACACGCATCTTTGACATTCAGTGCTACCTCCAGTTAGAATTATAGCTCAGTGTGCTTCAAACAATCAAACGTGTCATAAGCTCAGCTGATTTTTATTCGAAATCGATAGTGAACTTGATTTCCAACCTTTTTTCTTGTGATTGTTTATAACCTTTTTAACCTATACTCCTCAAGTCTTCTCTTCAGCGTTTTCTGTACTTTCAGGTTAATTGATTATTCTGTTCTACAATAAACAATTAATTTCATTGCAAAATAAACACACACACACAAATTATAATGATCAGTGCTTCGTTTATAGCCTCTCACTTGTGTTTAAGGACTATACCTGGAAATTTATTTGTCAAGCAATCTTATGCTACTGGTAAGTAAATTTTACAAATAAAGTTGATAATATATGCATATGAGCACAACATGCCTTATTCTGCTGAATAAACAATGTTAGGAATGAAGTGGTAAACTGTTGGATCATTCTTTTCTTTTACTGTGATCACGCTCTGAGGCAACTCTAAATAATCTAAAAAGTCCTGTCATAGCATAGCCCGTAAGTTTATATCATACACGTTTTACAAGGGATGGGTTTCCATTTTTACTCCCACCAATAGAACATCCAGGCATTAAGGCATAAATTAAATAGAATAAAATACTTAAGGCTCTCTTAATTAACGCTTTAAGTAAGTTAGGCCTAACCGAGACATGTTTTGATATCTTTTTTTTATTTTCTTATTATTGATAGAGGGCTGCACTTTAGTTTACGTTTCTCAAGTCACTCAGTCACCATTGTTGTAAATTTGTTTTATACTTAACCCTCCCAGTGTTACTTGACGAAAATTCGACAAGCAGCACACTTTGTGTAGTGTTACTTGTCGATTTTTCGACACGCAGACATCGTTTACGGCGAAGGCTCTATGACTGACTGAATCGGATTGAACTGGATCGAGTTAGGTATCGTTCTTTCCGTAATATTCTAAGCTTTCTCCAGAGGTCTGTGTCTAAGCGCTATTCATTTTAGTTCCGAAAATATTGTAGCAGACAGCTGACGTGCGTGTATTTGTAAACAGCTAGGTTCCCCCGGACCGATGACTGATGTGTTTTATTACGTTTATCATTGTTTTAGTGTTAAAAATCAAAAGTAGTGATATACGTGGTGCATTATAAGAAGATTTAAGTGGTTTTGAAGTGCTGGTTGATGATCCTGAAGAAGTAGGTAGTGATATTGATGTAAATTATCAGCCAGATTCCTAGCTATGGTTAGGCTATGCATTCTTAGCTAAACGCTATGTACTGAAATCAGTTTTTTGCCCATAACTTATTTATTTGCAAATCTACTTCCTTATATTATTATATATTTGTAATCCTCATAAAATTTAGAACAAAGTGGCTATTTTCAAATATTTATAGGCCTATAATTTATACAATTTCATTGAGCGCGAACTTTTTTTTTTTTTTGAAAATTTTCGAAATTATATTTTTTTTACCTAAATTTTTTTTTTTTTTTTAAATGTTCCTTATGTTTTATATATAATATTGAAGCCCATGATTTTCCAAACAAAATGGTATATAGAACATTAGAATTAACATTGTTTTAAGCTTCTCAGATCCGTTTTAATAAAACCTTGCAAATGCGCCAAAAATAGGTGGACATTAAGGCCTAAACTATGGACACTTGGAGGGTTAAGTATTATTTTGTAGGTTAAATTATTGACTTTTGGAATATTTACATTGAATGTGTTTATTGTACGCTTTGACTTTTCCAGGTGCAATAGCCTCTCTGGGGAAAAGCAAAGGAAAGTTAAAGGGTAAAATTGGAGCTGCCGCTGAAAAAGTCAAACTTCCAGTTGAAACTGATGCAAAGAGATTAGTTAAGTATTTGTGCGGTAGTAACATTCAGGCAGAAGGTGGTCAAGAAATAGAACTAAAACCGGACAACGAATATCCTGAGTGGCTTTGGAAACTACACATTGGTAGGTTAACGTGTTGATTGTACGCTTTTGTGATTTAGTGCAGGTTAATACTTAGCATTGAAACTCTCTTAGGATCTACCTGTTATGGTCCTAGTACACTCTCGCCGAGACAAGGCGAGTAGGTGCGAGTGGAAGAGTACGCTCAGCTCAATGCGCCATGAAGCTCACCTGCGCTCCGTCTGGAGCCGGTTTTTTGCACGAGTCAATGGAAACGAGACTGCATGAGCCGAACCCACTAACAACTTATTAGGGAAATTTTTTTAAAAAGAAAAAAATTCTTTTGAGACTCTTCCTAAGTCCTAAGTGGTGCCTCGGCAAAGAAAATACTCTGTCCTTCAAACTGCCTATCCTTGCCAATATGCATTCAGTTATCAACATGATGTAACTTAGTTACCATACTTAATTTTATAAGTTAAATTATTGTTCAGTCCCCCTGAATTCACCCATTTAACCAATCAATATAATACCTATAAGAAGCGCAATACCTTTGTTAAAAATCCAGTCTAGGAATATTAAAATTTTTGATAGTTCCCGCGGCGGCTGCTAGGTAGACTATCGGGAGCGCTCAGCCAATTCAGCTGAATTAGTAAGATAGAGTGAAACAAAGAATCAGGTTAGAGAGAGATAGTGTAGCGCAGCCGCCGCACGACCAATCCTAGGGACGACTGTGCCAAGCTCATTTCAGCAGCAAAATTCCAGTCTGTCTATTCTACATAAGCATTTCGCTTCTTAAAGGGTTTGTGTTCATTGTTTAACTCTGAGATTCACACTTGTGTTAGAACTTTCTTGTAATTGTATGTTACCAACGTTTAACAACTTTTGTTGAATACAAACGTTATTTGACGTTTGAAAAACTTGGAACACGGTAGAATTGATTTATTCCTGCCAGTAATGAGTCAAAAAACCGTATTGTATATTATGTTGTCACAAGTGTATTAATTTTACTACATTCGATTGTGGTTTTGCAGGTAAAAATAAAAGTCTAGAGGAACTGGATCCTAACACACTTGACTACTGGCAGAAGGTGAGAAGCCTGGCTATTAGAAGGAATCATCGACTTAGTAAGCAAAGGAAGTTTTAAGATCACAGGGTAGTTTAGTAAAGTGTTCAATGTGTATATTAAATAATTAAATACCTACTCTTCTCTAACCTTTTTGATCCTTGTTTATTGTTATTGTTGAAATATGTAGGAAAGGATTTTTTTAAGATGGGGTAAATTTTGAATATTTTACCTCTAACTCTAGACAACAAGCCATAAGTCCTTAACTCAAATAAATTGACCGTCATAATTTATGTATTACTAAATATAAAAATTAGGCCTATAAGTCACAAAGCTAGCATGTGCCTGAAAAAAGCCTAAAGCTAGGCGAGCTGGGCCATCCAAATTCAGTTATTTGTGCAATTGAGTAAAAAACTGTTCATTTGTTCTAAGTGCTTCGCCATAAGCCATTAAAAAGGTAGACTAACTTACAAGCTAGAAATACTGTACTTCACTTTGAAATGGCAGCCATACGAAAGTAGCCATCTAAAATTTAAGCCAAGTATGAAGATGGAGTATGGAGATGAGTGGCGCGATCTTGTATTCTTGTTAGTTACTGAGGCCGACATATTCCTCACTGCTGTTAATTAATAGCACATACAGCCAATGGCAACTAAGGGACCTACAGTTAATAGTGGAATCCAAACCACATTTTTGCCTTGTAATTAACGAATTGGTCTAATTATGATAGTACTGCGGCTAGTTGTAGTACTCACTTGCGGACGTTAATCCACAACAGGGAATATCACATCGACAGTGCATGCCTATAAATATCCACAATTCTTGACCTAGTAGCTGGATTAAAGGACAACGATGTGACGTCATAAGGGTCCGCTCTCAATAACTTTACATTATTTGCACCTTCTTTTACAAAAATTGATGAAAGGTTTTTTGTTTGTTTGTAACCACACTCCTTTTGTTTCAAAAGATAAATCTAAACTTCAAAAGCATATTTTATTTTTACATGGGTTGGATATGATGGCTATTTAATGTCCCAAAATCCTAGGAGATTTTATATCCTTTGAAGACCAGAATAGCAATTTTAGGACTAGAAAACCTTACACACTGAAGTCTACTTAATTTTTGTCATCATATTCTGTCATACTACTAGCATTGACCGGATACTATATCAATAGTCAAAGTTAATAACAGTAATGTACTAAATGTGTGCAAATTTCCTGTTAGAAGAGGTAGTTTTGCAGTGAACTGTACAATCGAGTCAAGGATTTATAAATTGGTACAGTACAGCCATTAAACATCCGCACGAGTGAGTACTACGACTATTCGCAGTAATATCCTGATAATTAGACCAATTTGTATATACCAAGGCAAAAATGTGGTTCGGATACTCGTTTGGTAAACATCTATTATTTTTCCGGACTAGTAATATACTATTCCAACAGGATGAAAAAAAAAACATTTGCTTTGACAAAAGGTATATTTTGAAGAACAAAGACAACACTTTTGGTCCACAAATCTGTATTGCTTACAACGATATTCCTGTAAAGAGGGACAAAAGAAAACCGAAGTTTAAACAACACAAATGTCTACATGCAACAAAAGTAAGTTGGCGATGACTACAACTTATATAATGGTACTTATCATTCTAAACAGGATATATTGTTTATCATTTTGTCATAGCAAACATACAAAAACTTAAATATATTTTTTTAGTCACTGCTCAATTCAAACATTTTTAAATGGAAGCAATTAACATTTTATAGGTTGCCTCAACATGTTGAGTCTTTCTATGTTTCTAATTATTTAAAACTTCAATAGGCCACAACTCTCTGTCAAAACACCAAGTATAAATATTTAGTTGTAAAATAATAGTGTAGAAAATTACAACTAGTCTGAACTGCCGAATGATACCATGATATCCATCAGACCGTATTGGTAAAAATGGTTTACAAAATATTGCAGATACATAAATAAAATATACAATAGTACATTTAAATTAGCCAACAAAATAGTCTACATAAAGAAAAACAATTAATTATCGATTATAAAGTTGATTCAAACTGCTAAGTTGTATTTAATTTTTTCAAACCAGCATGCTAATGGGTTTATTAAAATTAATCAATACAACTAACAATTAATTTTCAAATCTTAGTTTTGAAAGTTTTTAAAACACTGCTTAAAATACCTTCAATTCCTTCCTTTACTATGTCTCCCTTCTAAAAACAATTACCTATCAATATGTATGAGAGCATATCAAATTACGAAATAAGAATGTATAACATCAATAAACATAAAGATGAAAACGAAACTGACTAAACACTTGTTATTGGACACAAAACCTTCGATAAATAAGAAACTAGTCAAACCTATTCTGACGCTTCCAAACCAAACCCTGTATAGACGCAAGTGTAAACTTTCCCATTTCACCATTTGATCTACAACAACCCGTGACTAGCTAATCGATTCTACAATCAATAAATGTTTGACGACTTACAATTTACTAGGTGAGGTAGCAATATTTACAAGATGGTTCTAGACAAACAAATAACTAGGCTAAATGCTGTATCGGTCGAAAGATAGGACATCAATCTTTCAATGAGCTTTACTTTTCTTCTGAGACGTAAACCTGAGCATAATGGAGTAGAGCGTCGGGAACCCCTGAAAAAGTCAGATTTGCTGTTAGAGGACTTGAATTATTGACTGCAGACACAGAAAGTAGACTTGTCACTGCAATGTATTTGTAGATAATTTAGGTACTTTGGTATTATCTGGAGGCCATTTATTTTACCGGAGACCAAAAATAACTACACAATTGAAAAGAACATACTTTAATTTACTTACTGTCTAAATTTGACATGATCACGATTAGCGGCCTTTGAGTTCTGCCTTTCAGAAGGCAGCAATGTCTGAAGGATTGAGTTGAATGCGTCGCAGCTGCTAGCTGCGATGTTTACTCTGCCAAGTAGGTATACAGTGCGCTGCGGCGGTTATGTTAGGTTGGGTTAACATAAATATGTTTGTTAGACTTTCCTCGTTTCATTATAAATCCAACGATACCACATGAGCCATCACTCAGGACACTGATCCAGATACAGGCGCGGTGACAGGTGATGCGCAGGCTACGATCAACGACCTAACATTTGCTTACTTGGAGGGGATTTGGCGGACGAAAGTATGACTCTGGTATGGTTCGATTCATAACAAAACAAAGAAAGTCCTACAAACATATTTAACCCAACCTAACATAACCGCCGCAGCGCGCTGTATAAGGGTGGCCTCCGGATAATACCAAAGTACCATAATTTTGATCTCATTGCAGTGTCCCATGCCGGTTAAATTTCTTTTAAAATTTAACATCATTAAAAATATTTTTGTTATTTAAGCAAAAGATGACAAGCAATATTTTACAGCAAGTAATTTGCATTTAAAATATATAAAAAACATTTCAGGTGGATTTTTGTTTTGTGTTTAAAGAGGTGCAATGCAGCTGAATCATCTGAAAAAAATATTATCCAAGGCATATTCTTTTCTTATAAACTAACTCTGAAATGTCCTATACTAAAACGAAATACCAGTGGTTTGCGATCTTTTGTGTACCTTATCAAAAGTTCTAGGTCATTTGGTTTAACTTACTTGTATGAAAAAGTAGACGACAGTCAAATACATAACAATGGCAAAAGTCAGGAACAGATCAAATACTGCTGGTTTTACACTGTAATAAAGGATAAAAACGTTAGATCACCAAATCAACATAATTTGATGAAAAAAATCTCATTCTTATTGAAAACACAAACACATTCAACTAGGCCTACATTGTTTTTATGTCTTTAAATGAAACTATTTTTAAAACTAATTAATTTAAGACTGTTTGAAAAAACCTGTCAGAAGACCATAAAAAATTATACTTTTACTGTTAATTCTTCTGCGAGTTTTCAAATTACAGTTCATTTAAACAAAAACATTCCTGAAAATTAAAAACACACAAAGAACGACATAATTTTCAATAATCACAACTAATTAATTATTAAGTAACTGATTTTTGTCAACTTCTTAGCAGTAAAAAAATAGGTACTTTGGTATTATACTGACCACACCTAATAATTATAACATAACCTAACCTAAGGGTGGTTAAGTTAGGTTAGGTAGGAAGATTTTGTTATTTGATCTAATTAAATTCTTATTTGGAAGTTGATTTAACGGTGTGGTCAATATAATACCAAAGTACCAAAAAATATAACTTTAATACACTTACTTGAATAATTATTTAGTACTTCATACATTGACAAACCGAAAATTATTTGCATACCTACAAGAATAAGAAACTTTCAAATCTAGCCTGAGAAGGTTTTCTTACCTGTAGACATTAACAACAGCTTTTGTTACATCGTAAAATACAAATTCGGGATCTCTTTTGTCAGCTGTTTGGTAAGAGATTTTGACATCTTTGATGTAACTGAAACCAAAAGTCAGGTATTAAAAATGTAAGTTACAACCGATCGTTTAATACTAAGGCGAGAATAAACTATTTTAAAATACTGTTCGTAGTTGCATGCATGATGAACCAGTCAATGAACAATTACTTATAATGAGACCTAACATTTTATGATAACCTAAAAATACCTAAACATGTGAGCCCTTTTGTCAAGTTAGCTGATACAGTAGACTCCCTCTTATCCGGACTCCTCGGGACCGAAGCCAGTCCGGATAACAGTTTTTCCGGTTAAATCGACGTCCCCAAAAACTTGTTATGTAACCCAAATATTTGACTTAAATTTAGGAGAGCATTGTATTTAGACACGTGATCACTGGTCTCAAATCTTTCCCATGAGAACAGTCGTTTCAGTACCGCCCACTTCCTGCCGATCTAGTCCGGTTAAAAGGTGTCGGATAAGAGGGAGTCTACTGTAGGTTATAGCGCTTGCCTTCAAATCTGTAGGCTGCTGGTTCAATCCAAAGCTAAGTTAATTCTAGACCTGTACACAATTTTTTATTAGGCTACCAATAACTATGCTATTCAAGAAAAGGCAAGCAGGAGGATGAGATGGGCTTGACATGAAGAAAAGAGGACGAGTCTCTAAACAATATTGTCGGATAATTCTGTAAATAGATCAGCAGGAAGTCAGAACAAATGGTGGGGA